ATAGAAAATGTGTTTTGTAACTAATCTTAACTAAACCCATACAGGCAAAGAAATTCTGTGAAATATAGTTTACCAAACGTGGCACAGTACAAAGTTACTACCTCATCTATAAACCAAGAAACTTCATTTCCTTTAGCTATAAATTATAGATTACCTGGACTGTTGTGAGGATAACAAGATATTTCATATGGGCATATGGGAAATAAAATCTCACCCATTTAAAATGAAAAAGTTTGCATTTTTGAAATACATATGTTTGCAATTTCAGCCAAGACATTTCCTCTTAATTTGAATTTCATATATCTACTTGACTACTTGACATCTTCTCTTGGATACCTAATAGAGATATCAAAATTATGTCTAACATTGAACTTTTGATCTTTCTCTCTCCTGCCTCCAAAACCAAACCATTCCATCTACTGCCTTACCCATTTTAGTAAATGGCAACTCCAGCCTTCTTATGGCTTAAGCCAAAAATCTTGCAGTCATCCTTGACTTCTTTCTCAAACCTCATAGCCAACTCATCAGGAACCAGGAACTCCTGGTCTTTCAACATTCAAAATATAACGATCTCCACTGTTACCACTTTGGTTTAAGCCACCACCACTGTCCCTCACCTGGATTATTGCCATAGCTTCCTTTTTCTTTCTTTTTTTAAAAAATATATCTTTATTGATTTCAGAGAGAGGAAAGGAGAGGGAGAGAGAGAAATAGAAACATCAATGATGAGAGAGTCATTGATCAAGCCCACAACCTGGGCGTGTGCCCTGGCCGGGAATCGAACCCCGATCGCCACACCCAGCCGGGCTGCCATAGCTTCCTTACTAGGGCCGCCAGATAAAATACAGGCTACTCAGTTAAATTTGAATTTCAGATAAAGAGCAGATAATTTTTTAGTATAAGTATGTTCCATACCATGTTCTCTGCCTGTAACACTCTTCTCATCTGTGTGGCAAGCTCCCACTTCTTGTAAGTTTTTCCTCAAATGTCAGCTTTTCAGTGATTTTTTTCCCTGACGACCTTATTTAAAAATTTTTAAATTGATTTTTAGAGAAAGAGTGGAAGGGTGGGAGGGAAAGAGGGGGAGGGAGAGAAAGAGAGAGAGATGAGAGAGACACATCGATTGGTTGCCTCCCACACATGCCCTGACCGGGACCAGGGATGGAACCTGCAACCCAGGTATGTGCCCCTAACTGGGAATCAAACCCATGACCCTTCAGTGAGTGGGCTGATGCTCTAATCACTGAGCAACACTGGCCACAGCCATTGGTCAATTCTTTTTTTTTTTTTTAAGAAACAGATCTTTATTGATTTCAGAGAGAGGGAGAGGGAGATAGATAGAAACATCAATGATGAGTCATTGATCGGCTGCCTCCTGCATGCTCCTCACTGGAGACTGAGCCCGTAACCCAGGCATGTGCCCTGACCAGGAGTCGAACCTTGATCTCCTGGGTCCAAGGTCGATGCTCAACAGCTGAGCCACGCCCGCCGGACTTTGGTCGATTCTTCTATGTGCCCTGAGGATCTAACCCACAACCTTGGCATATCTGGACAATGCTACAATGCTCTAACCAACTGAGCTACCGGGCCAGGGCCCTGGGGGTAGTTTTGCTTTTTTGTTTTTGTCCTTTATATTTTGTTTCCTACTGCTATCTTCAGCACTTAGAACAATGCCTCATCCACAGTAAAGTTCAATAAATATTTTTGAGTGAATGAATGAATGAATGATTAAACAAGCCTATATTTGAACAGGGTATCTGGTCAAAATTTAACTACTGCCCAGAGCTTATTAGAGAAAGAAAGGGAGAGAGACAAGTAGCTAGTAAGTGTGGATCTTGGACAGATTTGTAGGCATTTCCAACTCATGCCAAAGCAGAGTGAGAATAAATGCTTTAAGGCAGGGNGGTCAAGTCTTAGATAATCAGTTGATGGAACCCGAGGCTTCTTACAATCATTAGTGAATTTATTATTTATTTATTTATTTATTATTTATTTATTTATTAAATATATCTTTATTGATTTCAGAGAGAGGAAAGGAGAGGGAGAGAGATAGAAACACCAATGATGAGAGAGTCCTGCACGCCCCCAACTGGGGATAGAGCCCGCAACCCAGGAGTGTGCCCTGACCGGGAATCAAACCCTGATTGCCTGGATCCTAGGTCGACGCTCAACCGCTGAGCCACGCCCGGCCAGGCTAGGCAGTGTTTTTTATATTTTATTGCACATATGAATCCACTAGGGATCCTGTCAGCATGTAGGTTCTGGTTCAGCAGGTCTGGGGTGGGGCCTGATAGTTTGCATTTCTCACAAGCTCCCAGGTGATATTGATGCTGGTAGCCTGGGAACCATACTTTGAGCAGCAAGGTATTATTAGAGAAGGCATTACTGAAGCCTGATCTCAGACAATATAGCCAAAATATGACCAGCTGGGAAATAGTTACTGTCAATGGTTCAACCAAATAAGAAACAGAGTAATCAATTTTGAACAGAGGTAGTTGATTCATTATGACTATTTGAAATAAGGATTTGCCCAACAGCTATGGTCCTAAATTTAAGAACACACTTGGCTATGTTTTCAACATGGGAGTGTTATTTCAGTTGAGCTGGTACAAACATGAAGGAAACATAACAATTATGGAGGAAAAGGGAAGGCTAACATTGATAAGTTTAAGCATTCAAAGAAATATGATTGGCATAGGGAATATTTGAGATGAACAGGCTGTTATTTTGGTGCTCCTTATATCACACCATATGGGGTCTTTCTGTAAACAAAACCAAAGTTCAGCTGCCTGCCTCCACGAAAGCCAAACTCATGAGATAGATGCTGGTAAAAAGGGAAGTGATTTATTCAGGTGCTGGCAACCTGAGAAGATGGGAGACTCTCATCCCAAAGCCCACTTTAACATCTCAGTGCAGGCAGGGGTTTTTATAGGGAGGGAGAAGGAGGCAGAACAAAAAGATCAGGAGGAGGGGCTGTGGACATGCAGGCAGTGTCCTTACTGATTCCAATATGGATCTTTAATGTCAGCATACTGGAACTGGGTCAGAGGTAATAGTACAAAATGTGATGATGGAAACAAGAAGTTGGAGTGACGAGGAAGGGGCCATAAACTAAGGAATGTAGGCAGCCTCTAGAAGCTTAAAAAGCCAGGTAACTGAATTCCCCCCACAGTCTAAATAAGGAATACAGCCATGCTGACACCTTGATTTTAGCCCTGAGACTTATTTCAGACTTCTGACCTCCAGAACTGTAAGATAATAAATCTGTTTTATTTTAAGATACTAAGTTTGTTGTAATTTTTTTACAGCAGCTATAGGAAATGAATATAGTCATCCAGCTGGTAAATGGCAGAACTGGGATTTTACAAATAGGTCTAATGGGCTCCAAAATCAGTGCAAAAGTGGAAGGTAAAAAGTTGCAGGAAGCAAGAGGAGCTCAGAAGAACTGATCCTGGGATCTACTTGCCCCCAAATACTCTCTTCCACATGTCCTGATGTTTTTTATTTCAATAGTTAAAGTTATTTGGATTAAAAAGTAGTCTTTTCAAATAATTCCAAATACTTCTGACCAGATCTAAAGGTCACTGGCACTTTCGGATGGATTAAGGTAATATCCTTTTTTTTCCTATTACTTGTTGACAATAATTGCAGTAAAAAAATGAGGTTTTGATTGGGTGAGGTGAAGCAAGTAATGTTGATGTAATGGATGCACTTCAGTTTATATACACGCCTGGGGGTAGAGGGTATGGTGCTGACAATGAAAAGCTGGATACCACTCAAGGGCAGTAGGTACATTATGCCAAAGACTATTCAGCCTATTTTGAACTTTTCCAGAGAGAGGACTGACTGTATGGAAGTTTTCATATTTCTTTTTTTTTTTTTAATCTTCACCCAAGGATATTTTTCACATTGCTTTTCAGAAAGAGTGGGAGGGAGAGAGAAACATCAATGTGAGAGAGACACAATAGGTTGCCTCCCACACGCACTCTGACCGAGGCCGGGGATCGAGCCTGCAACTGAAGTACATGCCCTTGGCTGGGAACCTTCAGTCCGTCGTGGGCCGATGCTCTAACCATTGAGCCAAACCGGCCAGGGCAATATTTCTTAAATTGTATGAGATCCTATTTATACTAGAAACTTCACTTAAACTTTCTCAAGAGCCTTGCCTTTCATCCCTTGTTTATAATTTATTTCCACAACTAATGGTCACATCTCTGAAGAGGAAGCTGTTAAGCAAATAGGGCTGGCTGGCCTTAGTCGAATTTGTAAAAGAGGCAGCTGTACCTCTCTCACCTCTATTTGAATTTTCACAGGGTCTTTGATGCCTTAACCTAGCAAGTATTTCCCAGCAGGAAGGTTTTCTAGTTTTTTGTTTTGTTTTTGTTTGGAAAGTTTTGAAACCTCGCCTGAGATGTTGCACGTCCTTCTCACAGGTTAGTCAAGATGCCAATAGAAAAAGGAGGCTGCCCAGCTAAGTGGACACCTCAAGGATTTTACTCTCATGTTTCCATTTCCAATCCTATGTCATCACCCTGAATAATCCCAAGGACTGGGGGCGGGGATGAAAATTAGTGTTCCCTTACAAATAAGTTTAAAACCCTTTCCTTACTCAAAGAAGTGTTTGGTATGCAAATGTATTTGGAGTGTGACACTCAAACACACACTGTACGGCGCTCCCAAAATTAAAATAAAAGCTCTTGTCTCCGTTTAGGTCATTTGGGGTAGGCAATCTATCAAGAATGTATTAGAGACTACAAAGGGAAGGAGGGCAGCTATATTCCTTATTTGTTTCTCACCTTCACTAAATGATACAGCAAGTGGAGTCCGAAGGAAAATAGATTTCTTCCCTCCCACTCTCAGTGATTACATGGTACTGCCTCTAATCCTGCCCCATCATTAACAGTAAAAATCTAAACTAAACTAAACTAAAAACACAGGGTAGTTTGGAACTGCTAGTAGAGGATTTGGATGATCTAAGAAATGAGACACTGGCAAAAATATTTTTTTTACAATATTATAATTATAAAGTTGAAGGCACATCCTTGGCAGATCAAAATAAGATCAATTACATGCTTATGGAAAAAACAAACTACTAAACATCTTGACTATCGTAGATGATTATTGCACAACATCACCCACTGCTGTTTGGGTAGCAAACAATCGATGTTTAACAATGTTTAAACATTTCTTGAACTAAAAACGTAAGGCTGAGACACCTGGTTTTGGCTACAAAAGGCATTTATTATCGATGCTATTACAGAAGCTCTTTTAATCAAAGAACAAGAATCCTTGCTCATGTGCTTTATCTGGTTACTCATACCAGATAAACTTCCGGAGGGACTAAGAAAACCAGTGGAAAAGTAGCTAATAATTTGGCATGAATCTATATATTTTTATATTTGGTAAAATAATATTTTAAATATAGAAAAGAACTAAACAAATAAAAAATCCAAAGGGAGTGATTCCAGGATTGTTTTTATTCTCATTAAAATAACCAATAGCCAGATGTCTCACCCCCAAAAAATAACAGGAGTAAAATAAATACTAAGAAAAATAATTTTAAAGCAAGATCCACAAGTAATGGAAAAATTCTCTAAGAACATACATTCTTGATTTTAAGCTGTGTACATAAAAGATATGTACACTTAAATTTTTGGAAATGTCCATCTACAGTCCTATTTAAGCATTCTGAACAAAGAATACACCTGAAAAAAGAATAACTTTTAAAAAGTTAAAGCACAATATAAAATTATTTGTTCACAAGACATCAAATTTAACACTCTAAAATGTTGATACTAAACCAGGAAAAATAACATTTCTATTTTCACAAATAACAACCATACTTCTTTATACTACAACACTAAATACTTTAGTTATGTTTTAACCTTTGAAATTCAAAAGGCATCTTTGGATATTGAAGATAAAAGGCGCCCCGTAGTTGAGTCCAAACCAGCACTGGAAATCAAAACACCCTTGCTAACTTGCACGGAGGGCACGCTGCTGAGTGAGTACAGAAGAGCGATGAAGGAATAACAAAGAAAGAGCTCCAAATATTAAATTCAAGTGTACAGTAGTCCCTCCTTATCTGTGGTTTCACTGCCCCATCAGTTATCCACGGTCAACCATGGTCCAAAAATCTTAAATGGAAAATTCCAAGAAAAAGACAATTCATAAGTTTTAAATTCTGGGTATTGTGATGTAATCTCACGCTGTCCTGGTCCGTCCCACCCGAAACAGGAATCAGCCCTCTGCCCAGCGTGTCCTCACCGTATGCACCCCCCACCCATTACTCACTCAGGAGCCGTCTCAGTTATCAGATTGACTGTCATGGTCTCACAGTGCTTGTGTTCAAGTAACCCTCATTTTACTTAATGACGGCCCCAAAGTGCAAGAGTAGCGATGCTGGCAATTTGGATATGCAGAGAGAAGCCATACAATGCTTTCTTTAGGTGAAAAGGATGTATGTATAGGGAAAAGCACAGCATGCATAGGGTTTGGTTGTATCCGAGGTTTCAGGCATCCACTGGGGGTCTTGGAACATTCTCCCATGGATAAGAGGGACTACTGTCAACCTATTTTCCTTCTATATGGTAATATGTGTGTGTACATATACATGTATTTATATATGTACATGCATAGACATACACACATACACACCCATTTATAAAATTTGTTCTCACTAGTAACCAGTTACTTAATGCTAGTTACTAATTGAAAGGAGTGTTTCTGATCCACTGCATAAATCACCTCTCTCTCCTGTCAATATAGCTGCTCTATGAAGCTAATGGGAATTCAGGATTGCAAAAAAACTCCCCACAAAACTTGTAGAGAATTCAAAGATGGCTACAGATATTTAAAGCAAGATTCTTTCTAAACAGCATGTTGTGTTCTGGTAGTAAGGGCTGAAATTATATCCTTGATTTTTCCCAGACTATAGGCTGCTCTTCTCACTATCCTATGATGTGGGTCCCCTGCAAGGTGGGGCAAGAACACTACCCAAACATATACATAATAATAAAAGTAGTAGCTGGCTATCTGCAAGTGCTTCAGAGAGAGAGAAGAAAAAAGTAAGAGACAGAGAGTGAGTGAGAGAGATGCTTCTTTTTTCAAAAGTCTAATATACACCTGTCATATTAACTGTTTCTTCTGGAAGAAACAAGTTATAGTATGATGGGCCACTGGAATTAAAATAAGAAACATATTAATATTCAAACTGGTAGCATGGAAGATGGCATAGGCATTGGTCTAAGAGCCTAGACATACAAACTCATTCTTGTTTCATTAAAGTGGGTTTGCCTTTCTAGATTAATAGCACCTTCATCAAGTTTCAGTTCTCTCTTTAAAATAGCTGAGATAAAAATGAGATCTTTTCTAAATCTGAAAAGATAACATGGAATAATGTTGTAAACTTTTTTTGTGTGTGCATGAAAAGATAAGAGGGAAAGTAGACTAGGAAGAAACCCATCCCCCACTACCACCTGATTTCAGACTCTGCCCTATAACAATGACTTTTAATATTTATTACTGACCTCACGTGGAGAAAAAAATTAACATTTACTGAGTACAAACCCTATGTGCTAGGCACTGTGCTAGCAGCTTTACATATGGCAATGAGAACAAAATATTGGAAATTTACGAGTTCACTTACATATTCTACATATGAAATCCATCTTACAATTAACAAGGAAATTTAAATAGTGATACAAGTACAGTGCCAGATCTCTGGCCAACGTATTAACTCTCAGGCATTCACAGGGGAAATTTCTAAATTTATATAGTAATAAAAACAAGCCTCTGAATTTGCCAATCACACTAATTAGCAAGTGTAAATGTTTCAAACTGGAGAACAGTATAGATTTGCCTGAAAGGTATCACACCTAGGGAAATTCTCATTTCTCCATTACAATTTATTGTATTTTTGGTAAAAGCAGTTTTGTGTAATAGCATTATTTTAAAGTCATTTTGAGTGGTTATCTAAAACACTAAAAGACAATTAAAATCTGTTAAATTATATATACCAGCGAAGGTCTTATATTCTGTCCATAAGAGGACAAGTTTAGTGAATCCAGGTAATTTTATATGACCCGTATATGTTAAAGATGGTAAAAAAAAAAAAAAAAAATCTTTGAAAAATCTTTGATCTTTGAAAAAATCAAATCTTAAGTTTCTGGACTGAGGCTGACAGACTACACAAAGAACAGCCTAGAGCCAAACTCAGTGGAAGTGAATTGAAAGCTTGCACCAAGTGAGGGAGTCACTGAAGGAAGAATCTGATATACTTTTAATAACAATGGAAAGATGGGAAGCAGGGAACGCTATGGACCTTTAAAGTCTTTTGAACTACAAGGGAAAGAAAAGAACAAGATATTAGAAATATTGTCAGTTATTTTTTATCAATGAAAAACCACCTACACTTAGCTTACTCAAAAGGAGATACAAAAGAAAACATACTGGGTCATCTAAGAAAGCAACTACAAAGACAAAGAGGCAGGGAGACTAAGCGGGGAAGAAAGCCTGTAGTACTGAAGGCACATCTATTTTAAAACAGTTTCTACTGTTTTCCTTCTAAACCTAGATGCTTCACACACTGCTCTGAAAGCCACTGTTTCCCAATCTGGCAGGGATGAAGGCTGAAGAACCTCCTTAAGGTCATGCTCTCAAATCTTCAAATTTTTAATTATCCTTTTCTTGAGGTTTTTTGTTTGTTTGTTTGTTTTTGTCAAATAAAAAAATCGTGTATCACTGTAGCAGCAGCTTGGCAATCTTCAATTGCAGGGCCTGCTGTAAACCTCACCCGCCTACTTGATCTGTTGCTAGTGAAAACAAAAAATACTGAAAATTCATTTTAAATAACGCTGGGTTCAGAGCTGATGTCTTGAAAACTTTATTTTTGCCATTAGAAAAATGCAATTCAAATAGAATCCCTAATATAAGAGCAGGACACCTACACAAAATCCTTCCACAATAGTTTGAAAAGCTAAGGTGACATCATGAATGCGGCGTCAGTGCATAACAACACGAGCTCGAAGCGCTCTGTGTGGCCTGTTACACTGTAGTGTCCTCATCTTCCCTACAGTCCCCCACCAGGAGTGAGTGCTTGTCAGGTTCACTGATACCAACGCTATTTAGGGACCGTTTATCAGACAGTAGTGAGTTTATGGAGGCTCTGCTGTAATTAACAATCCGGTCCAGCAAACCCAGTTTAGGAGAACTTCTTGAGGTGTCATCTATTCCGACATGAACGCTGATTTCTGAAGGACTTTTCTGTCCCATCTGGCTTCGGGAATGCAGTTCGTAATTCTCATAAGTTGGTTTCCTATAACTGGACACATGCAAAAGTACACTAGTTTGAAATAACCAAATGTGAATTAGATGCTTGTTACATTAAAAAATGAAAAGAGATTTTTGCCTGGTATAAAATGTACAAAGGCTGAACCCTGCTAGGAAAGTAGCTCAATAGGAATTGTGTGTAGTCACACGATCAGAAATCCTACCTCTCAGAGCCAATGTACTCAATTTTACCCCACCTGGTGCTTATGCTGACTATGGATAGACTACATAAGGTGAGAATTACATGGCTAGCATTCATATTAAGACAGTTTGGGCTTATCATTGATCACTGCAAGAATAAAACCTACCAAGACTGACTGAGGATGATAAAAGGAATATAAAATATAAATGTGAGCAAGCCATCATACTTACAGTTTAAGGAAGAGAGAGGAAAGTACTACTGAAACAGATGAAGCAGCCATTGCAGCAGATCCCATCCAAGGCTGCAAAGCCAAACCAATGGGCATAAACACTCCTAGGAAACAAATGTGAATTAGCTATAGCAGATAGTACTAAACATCACCAATGTGTTTCTAATATGTATTTACGAATCATTTCCTCACTTGATATTTATTCAGCAATTTATCTTCCTGTTGGTGGAGATTTATGTGGTTGCCAATTTTTCACTGATAGAGTGTTGCTGTGAACATTCATGTGCATGTTTCCCTGCACACGTTTGATAATTACCCTAGAGTATACACCTAGAGGTGAAGCTGCCGGGTTTAACATGGGCACATTTTCAACTTTAGGTGGATATTCCTCAGTTGCTTTCCAAGTGGCTGTACCAGATCACACACATACCATCAACAGGGAATGAGAGTTCATGTTCTACAAACTCATCCACACTTGGTTTTGACAGACATTTTAATATTTGCTCATATGATGGGGATAAGATAGCCTTATTGTATTTTTAATTTTTTATGTACTTATCTGCTTTTTTTTACTTTTTATACAGTGGTCATACATTAGTTACATATATTTTTTTAAAAATCACTTGCTCCATGAATTAGTTACTCTGGATTTTTAAAAATTTATTGATCTGAGCCCAGCCGGTGTGGCTCAGCGGTTGAGCAACAACCTATGATCCAGATCAGGGTTCGATTCCCGGTCAGGGCACATGCCCCGGTTGCGGGCTTCATCCCCAGCAGGGAGCGTGCAGGAGGCAGTTGATCAGTGACTCTCTCATCATTGATGTTTCTCTCTCTCTCTCTCCCTCTCCCTTCGTCTCTCTGAAATCAATAAAGACATATTTAAAAAAATAATAAAATTTATTTATCTGAGAGAGAGGGAGGAAAGGGGGGAGATAGAGAAACATCGATTTGTTGTTCCAACTATTTATGCATCATTGGTTGATTCTTGTATGTGCTCTCACCGGGGATTGGAACCCACAACCTTGGTTTATTGGGTGAACACTCTAACCAACTGAGCTACCTGGCTAGAGCTAATCTTTCTGGATTTTGATTGTTCTTTTACTTTGTCCTCTCAGCATTTGTGTGTTTATCAACAGCTTTGAAATTGCCCTCATGTCATTTTATGCCTTTCTTTGGCTCTCAAACCAGAGACAAGAAGAAGAAAGTGACAACTATTTCTCTTATGTTATTACTAACTTCTACCAAGCCCTTAAATACGGGAGATTATCAGATGTTTATTAAACAATTCTAAATTGCTTTTTCTTGATCATATTCCTTCATTCAATTTCTCTCTCTCATCTGGTCCCCAAACTTAAAGAAAAATCTGTTGGCTATTATAACATTACACGAAGAGCAGAAAATTCTCTGTACGTTATAATTACAACTATGTGACAAGACAAAAACTGATGCAGAGTAAAAAAGACCAGAAGTAAATAGACTAAATGCTAACAGTAGTTGTGTTTGGGTAGTGAGATTAATGGTAAATTTGTTCTCTTAAGCAATATATAAATGAGAATATATGGAGAAAGAGATGAAGCAATGTAACAAAATATTATTAATTGATGAATTTAGGTTAAGTGTATACAGATTTTCATTGTATCATTTTTTCCCTGCCTATGTAAGTTTAGACTTTTTCAAAATGTAAACTTGGAGAAAAATATAAAGTAAAATAAAATAAACCTGAGAGAATGCTTCTACATTCTAGACTATAATGAACATTGTTGAAAATTAAAACTGTTGATTTTAATATTACCTCTCAGCACATAAGCAGGCTACATATAAAAAATGAGCTCAAAACTAATAAAAACACTAAAACTTCCAAAATAATAGGTCTCTAATGACTTCAGAGGAAAAAGCAATACTAGTTAACAGTCACATACCAGCAGCTATGGGAATTCCAACCAGATTATAAATTAGAGCGAAGACAAAATTTATCCGAATTCTCTTGACTGTCTTCCTTGATAAATCAATACTTGCCACTACATCCAGAAGATCATTCTGAGAACAGAAATATTTGTGATATTAGTGAGAGATTCTAACTAGGAATTTTTGCATTTGATACTGTGTACATTGAAGATGACATGTACCTTGGGGTAATATGTGATTTAACGACAAACCTCATATATTGCTAAAAATTTGAGTCAGCCTTGGAAGATGTTTTCCATGAGTTTTTCTCAGGGTTCTGAAAACACATTTAGGGTTGTATGCTGGTAGAAGGATTAAATGCTATTAAAATAACCTCAGTATTTGTTGAAGATAATTTTATTCTAAGTATGTTCCCAAATCTTGTTCTTCACTTTAGAAACTTGTCATTCTCATTTGCTTCACTGGACTGAGAAACTCTGGAAGTAACTGGTAAGACTCATCACACACCCATCTCAAATTCTCCCAGTCTCAATAGCTGGGAGCATGGGAATTAGAAGAACAGAACTGTCCCGCTCGATATACTTTATGACACTATCCCTGACCACGTAGAGCAGACTTACACTGCTCAAAGTTCAGGCTACAGGACTTACCCTTATCAAAACCACATCAGCTGCTTCAATGGCTACATCTGTGCCTGTGCCAATAGCAATTCCAACATTGGCCATTGCCAGAGCTGGGGAGTCATTGATTCCATCTCCTACCATTGCTACCCGTTTCCCCTCCTCTTGAAGTTGCTTCACCTTAGCAACCTTGTGGGAAGGTAGAACTTCAGCGAACACCTTAGTAATGCCAACCTACAACAGAAAAAATAGACTCAATTCAAGAAATATTACTGACTACCTGAAATATAACTCAGCAATAATAAGCCATCATTTCCCACCCACCAGGTGTCTAGATTTTAAAAGACTGGTAATATCCAGTGATAGTAAGAGATGAGCTCCCTTATACACTGTTGGTGAATGTGTAAATTGGTACTGTCTTTTTGGACGGTATTAGGCAGCATCTATCAAAGTGCACACATCATTTGGTTTAGCAACTCCACGTCTAGCTATATTTTGAACGTACATGTACATGCACAAAAAGAGGTATGCCCAAGGATGCACATTACTACCCTGTAACAACAAAATTTTCAAGTCACCTAAATGCCCATCATTAGAGGAATGGCTAAATAAATGATGATACATCCAGACCATGGAATTCCCTGTAGCAATTTAGAAAAAATAAATAACTTTATATGTTCAGACATGGACAAAACCCTAAGGCATATATATTATTATGAAAAAAAAGCAAACTGCTAAACAATCTATACAAAAATGATCCAAATTATGTTGAAAATACCAGAACTATACATTTGTATATAAACATGTATACATATGAAAAAGTATAGGTGATAGGACTTGATAGGGAGCTTGGGAAAAGGGTGACAAACTTTTTACTTTATATCCTTCAGTATTTTTATACAAGAATGTATTAATATATTACTTGTGTTATTTAATAGAAGAGACAAGGCATTCCTAAGAAGAAAAGACTAATACGAGAAAAGTTTTGAAATAAGGCAAATGTGAGTGTCAGTAGCAGAAAAATGGTATGTCAAGTGGTGCACAAGGAAGATGGTTTCATCAGTGGTGCTCAGGATGGACTGGAGAGGGTAGCGCATGGAGCTAGTGCTGTATTTTAGGCATAAGAGGCTTAGAGCCTGGCCTAGCCTGGCAGCACCTGTGAAAAATATGAGCAACATTTCAAAGGAAGCATCAACAGAAACTGGTGCACAATGTCACTTAACCATCTCATGAACTAAGCAAATAGCTTTTTACTTATTACAGTAGAACTCAAAGCCCAAATTCCTGCCTGAAATAGCATGCCGATTCTTTAAGGAACCAGATATGTCTACTCAGGGATAATGAAAATAATAGATAATATGAATTTTTTAGCATCTGAAGGGAAGAAAGGAAATGTATATTAAGAATTAGAAGTTACCACATACCCCACTCCAACAACTAAGTAAACCAATTACCTGAGAAGCAATAGATCTAGCTGTTTTACTGTTGTCTCCAGTCATCAGAACTACTTCTAAGCCCATAGCTTTCAGAATATGGACAGCCAATTCTGCTTCAGGCTTCACTGTATCGGCAATAGCTATCAAGCCACACAGCACATCTAATATAGGAACACCAGAAGAGAGCTTAGAATATGGAGAAAGCAGAAAAATATACTGACTTAAATTTTCAAAAACAAAAGAATTTTGTGCCGGGCCGGGTGTGGCTCAGCAACTGAGCGGCGACCTAGGATCCAGGTGATCGGGNAGGCAGTCCCAGGTAATTCCGGAGCGTTCATCAGTGGCACGTTACAGCAGAGGCCTGGCTGGGCTGAAATGTGAGTTGCCTAAAGGTCACAGCGAAATGACTGCAAGAGGAGCAAGAGGAATTCTGATCATTATAATCACTATAAAATACTATTTCCCACTTGTGTTTTCTCTTCTCTGGGAGACTGGAGGTCTGGGTTTCTTCTGGAAGATAAGTGAGGACATAGGACTCAGAAGGAAGTGGATCAGAACAAAGAATAGAAGTTGCAGTTCATTTCAGAGATTTAGGGGTAGCCTTTCTTCCAATTGAAGTATTTCCAGGATATTCCTATTTCCTACTACTTGGGAAAACTTCTAAAAGCTGGCTTCAATCCTTTGTTGTCAATAAATCAATCTGCCTCATAATTTCATCCTTTCTCGTGGGTTCGCTGTTGCCATTATTCTTGAAACTCACACCGTAAATCCCACAAAACCCTCCCACCCTGCCCACCCTACCTGCAAGCTAATTGCTTCCCTTTCATTCCAAACAAATTCCTTCCAGGAAGTTTCCTCTGCATTTGGTGGGACAAGAGAAAAATGCTCTCACTACCCAGGTTCATCCTACCCCTAAAATGTCTTAAGATGTGAGAGCAATAATGCTTATCATCCTCACAAAAAGGAAAAGGCCATTACATTTGGTTGAAAGCATAATTTTAGCCCGGCCGGCATGGCTCAGTGGTTGAGCATCAACCTATCATCCAGGTGGGGGGCGTGCAGGAGGCCGCTGATCAACGACTCTCTCATCATTGATGTTTCTCTCTCTCTCCCCCTCTCCTTTCCTCTCTCTGAAATCAATAAAGATATATTTAAAAAAAAGAAAGCACTTAAAACCTCAAGATGTTTATTGCAGTGTTATTTACAATAATGAGATATCAGAATAGCTTAAATTTCCAACAGGGGAGTGATTAAGTTAATTAGAGTGTAAAAGTTTAATAAATTATGTAGCGTTAAAATAAAATTGGAAAATATTTAGTATTAAATAAAATAAAGCAAAAAAAATATTATGTGTATAAGAAGTTTTTTATTCAATTTTATTGAGGTAAAATTTACATACAATAAAATGCAACCATTTAAAAATAGTATACGTACTAATAGTGTAATTCTGTGTATGAATGTGTGTGTGTGTGTGTGTATGTGTATATATATATATACCAGAAATGGAATATATACAATTAAAACTGACACTGTGTTAAGATGATGAGATTATAAATATTATTTTACTTTGCTATTCACTTAATGTTATGTTATTTTTAGGTTTTAAAAAATCCTTGATTAGCTTTTTTTAAAAAAAAACACAGCATAGACTAGGGATGAAAATAAAGCCAGGCGAATGCAAGAGAATTTTAAATTAATCTGTAACAATTATGTATTGATAACAATTTCACTTTGCATTCAAGCTCTTTTGAATAATTCTTAGAGTTCAGAAGTCTCTCAAAAGTACACATAAAACAAGAGCTGAGATCACAAAATTGAGTCATAGTGTACTTATGGAAAACCTTACCATCAACTGCCACCAATACAGCAGTACGACCTTTTCTCTCATGTTCAGTCATGGAATCATGTATATCATTATTAATGACAAGACCATTTCTAGTCATCCACTCCCGGTTACCAATGAGGACTTTGTACTGCTGAGCATTAAGAGCATCTGAGTATAAAAAAGCATCTGAAAGAAAGTACAGAAATAACATTTAATGAGCTCATTTTATATTTCTAACTACCCCATGAGGCACGTTCTTCCTGTCTAAACATTGTATTTTGAATAGAATGCAGCCTACGACACTGATTTCCAAATTTTGAAGATACTCTGCTCTTCCATGCCTCTGGGCCTTCACATATGCTGTTGCCTCCACCTGGAACGTCCTTACCCCTCCTCTCAAAATACCAAACTCCACCATACTCTTCAGGAGCCAGTTCAAATGTTACTTTCTTGGTGAAGCTTTCCCTTTTGCCTTTCCCTTTGACCTTCCAAAGCAGTTGAATTACATTAAACATATTTATTGCGGATCAGTAGCTGAATGTGGTTGAATGAAAACATACAACCATACTGATGTCTCACGTGCAAACATGTGATCATTAACTTTAAGTGGGCTCTTAGTGCTATCTGGCAATTCTATGCTTCCCTAGTCCATTCCTTCTCCATTCCTTCTAGATCTCTTCGCCCATTCTCATACCAGAGGATGACTCTGCATCCTACTTCAGAAAGAAAATAAAAGCAATCAGAAGAGAACTTCTACAAGCTCTCATTGCCACATCTACTCAGCTGTACCTGTGTACACATGAACCTAGCTTCCCTTCTGCTTTTATATACTGCCCCTGCTCCCATTTAAGGACAACCTCTCCACTTGTGTACCAGCTCCCCCTCCTCTGCATATTCTACAAACATCTCTCTAACAACTCACCCCTCTCTCTCCTACATAATCAAATTTTCTCTCTACACTATAGTCCTGTCTTTTAAAAAAACCTCTCTTGATCTCACTTCTCTAGCTACCTTCCCATTTCTCTGCTTCTGTACATATAGCAAAACTTCTCAAAAGTGTTGACTCTATTGGCTAGCTCCAATTCATATCTTCCCATTCTCTTGTGAACCCACTCCAATAAAGCTTTTGTTTCAACTACTTCAAAGAATTGTTCACACAGTACACCAGCGACCTTTACTTTAATAAACCTAATGGCAAATTATCAGTCCTCATTTTACTTGCCCTATTAGCAGCATTTTATAGATAATCACTCACTCCTTGAAATTCTTTCTTCACTTGGCTTCTAGGACACCACATTCTTATAAATTACCTCCTCACTCACTTATCAGTCTTCTTTTCTGGTTCTTCCTCATTGCCCTGACCTCTTAATTTGTAGTGCTGCAGGGCTCAATCCTTAAACCTCCTTTTTACCCTCCATCTACTCTCACTGCTTATTGATCTTATCCAGTCTCATGGCTTTAAATACCATCTATAGCAGTGCTGTCCAATAATTTTCTTTGGTGACGGAAATGTTCTATATCCTCTCTGTTCAATGGTTGAAGGGCTGGATTTTAAATTAAATTTCACTTTACTTAAAGTTTACAAGTCACATATAACTAGTGGCTACCATATTGGACAACACAGACCAGTAAGTGGATCTCCCAAACCCGTATCTCCAATCCAGTGTGTTTCCTTGAACTCCAGTCTTGTGCAGCCAACTGCCTACTTGATAGTTCCGTTTCTATGACATCTCCACTTGAATATCTAATAGGCACTCAAAATTTACATGTTGAAAACTAACTCCTGATCAGTTTTCCTCAATATTGCCCCTGCTGTGGTCTTCCCCATCTTATTTAAATGGCAACTCTATCCTTCTGAATTGCTTAGACCATAAACCTTGGCATAATTCTCTTTTCTCTTTTTCAATTAGAGTTGACATACATTATTATGTTAGCTTCAGGTGTACAACCCAGTGACTAGACACTACATAACTTACTAAGTGATCATTTCGATAAATCTCGCACCCACCTGGCCCCATACATAGTTATTAGAATACTACTGACTATATTCCCTATGCTGTACTTTACATCCCCATGACTATTCTGTTACTACCAATCTGTACTCCTCAATCCCTTCACCTTTTCCACCCATCCCCACAACTCCTCTCCCATCTGGCAACTGTCAAAATGTTCTCTGTATCGCCCGGCTGGGCGTGGCTCAGCGGTTAAGTGTCGACCTAGGATCCAGGCGATCAGGGTTTGATTCCCGGTCAGGGCACATGCCCCGGTTGCAGGCTGCAGCAGATCAATGACTCTCTCATCATTGATGTTTCTATCTCCCTCTCTCCCTCTCCCTTCCTCTCTCTGAAATCAATAAAGACATATTTTAAAAAAAAAAATGTTCTCTATATCTATGAGTCTGTTTCTGTTCTGCTTGTTCCTTTTGTTTTGTAGATTCAGTTGTTGATAGATATGTATTTATTGCCATTTGGTTGTTCACAGTTTTAAAAATATATCTTTGTTGTTGAAAGTATTAAGATAACCCCTTTTTTTCACTCCCTGACCCCCTCCATCCCAATCCCACCCCATTGTTCATAGTTTTGATCTTTTTCTTCTTCTTCTTCTTAAAGAAGACCCTTTAACATTTCATATAATAATGGTCTGGTGGTGATAAACTCCTTTAGCTTTTTGTTGTCTGGGAAGTAATTTATCTGTCTTTTGATTCTAAATGCTAGCTTTGCTGGGCAGAGTAATCTGGGTTGTAGGTCCTTGCTTTTCATCACTTCCAATATTTCTTGCCACTCTCTTCTGGCTGCAAAGTTCCTGTTGAGAAATCAGCTGACAGTCGTATGGGCTCTCCCTTGTAGGTAACTAACTGCTTGTCTCTTGCTGCTTTTAAGATTTTCTCTTTGTCTTTAAACTTTTTCATTTTAATTATGATGTGTCTCGGTGTGGGCCTCTTTGGGTTCATCTTATTTGGGATTTTCCGCACTTCCTAGAATTGTATGTCTATTTCCTTCACCAAGTTAGGGAAGCTTTCTGTCATTATTTTTTCAAATAGGTTTTCAATTTCTTGCTCTCTCTCTCCTCTTTCTGGCACGTCCATGATGGGGATGTTGGTGCGCTTGAAGTTGTCCCAGAAGCTTCTTACACTATGCTAATTTTTTGGATTCTTTTTGCTCTTCTGATTGGGTATCTTCTGCTTCCTTGACTTCCCAATCTCTGAGTAATGGTTCCTCTGCTTCATCTGCTCCACTGGTGACTCCCTGTAATGTATTCTTCATTTCTGACAGGATTGTTTTCTAGTTCTGCTTTTACGTTTCCTATCTCTTTTTGAAGTTCTAAGTTCATCTAATTACTCTTCCCCCAAGCTCACTGAACATCCTCATAACCAGTGTTTTGAACTCTGCATCTAGTAAATTGCTTGTCTCCATTTTGTTTAGTTCCTTTTCTGGAGTTTTGTTCTGTTCTTTCATTTGGGACATGTTTCTTTGTCTCTTCATTTTATCAGCCTCCCTGTGTTTGCTTCTATGTATTAGGTAGAGCTGCTCTGTCTCCCAGGCTCAGTAGAGTAGCCTAATAAATTAGGTGTCCTGTAGGGTCCAATGGCACAGCCTCCCCAATCACCCAAGCTGGGCACTCGAGGTGCGGCCCCGGTGTGGGCTGTGTACACTCTCCTCTTGTAGTTGAGCCTCGATTGCTGTTGGCATGTCAATGGGAGGCATTTGCCCCCAGACTGTTCAGCTGCAAGGGCTGTCTGTGACCACCAACCACCGATCTCTGAACACTATGGAGGATCAGCTGTGCAGGGGCCCATCCCATAGTACAGGACTTACTTCAGCGGGGCTCTAGTGCCCACTGAGTCCGCCCCTTGTGTGTCGTTTGTGGAATTGGCTGGGTGGTGCTCTGATGTGGTCTGAAGCTGTCCACTGGGTGCACTGGCTCTGGGACCTCCCAGGAGGTGCAGGCCAAGGTCAGCTACCACCTGTGTTCTTCTTGGAGCCACCTGGCATGAGCTACAAAGTGATCTGCAGATCGCTGCTACTTGTACTGGGTTTAGAGGGGCCCAAGCAACGCCAAGCTGTGATCCAAGGCTGGGTGTGGCTAGTGCCAAGCCTGGGGTTACTTAGTGAGAGGTACAGGACACACTGAAGCCAGATGATGCTTGTTTGAGAGATTTTAGGAAAATCTGAAGCATGAGCAAAGATAGGCCATTTGTATGGAAAATCTACTGGAAACAGCTTGGGTGGGCCTGCAAATTGGGTGGGGCAGGTTTTAGGGAGCGTGAGGTAGGTTGATGGAGTCTCAGATATGGCACCCGTCTGCCAGTTCTGTGGGGGAAGGGCTCATGAAAGGAATTATGATCTCTGGCAGCACTTCTGTCTGGGAGAAAGCTGCCAGAAAATTGTCCTAATTGTCCTAATGCCAGACAATTCAGTTCCTACTCTCATGCTTGGCAAGATTCTTGACTCCTTTTCTCTTATACCATATCCAATCTGTGAAAAAAAATTGTCTGCCAGTTTTAAGACACATCTAGAAATTGACCAATTCTTATGACCTCTACTGTTACCACACTAGTCCAAGCAACCAATATCTTTCATCTGGATTATGACACTAATTAACCTCCCTGCTTTGGCCCGTGCCCTTCCCCCAATAGTGTATATTTACCAGAGCAGCCAGAGTAATAATTTGAAAATGTTAAGTCATATTCCATCATTCCTACATTTAAAACTCTCCAGTGGCTTACATCAGGCAGGGCAAAAACCCAAGTCCTTTCAAAGTCCTTACCAGATCTAGTCCTGCACTACCTGCCTCTCTGGCCTCATCTCTTATGCCCTTCCCACGCATTTCTTCTGCTCTAGCCACACTGTTCTCCTTGACGTTCCTGAAACTAATCAAGCACAGTCCTGGCTCAAGACTTTTGTACTTAACATTCCTCCTGTCTGAAATGCTTGTATCACAGATATTCACATAACTTTCTCCCTCCCCCTCCTCAGGTTTTTGCTCAAATATCACCTTCTCAGTGAGGCCTACCCTGATCATCCTATATAAAATAAGACTCACTACTTCCAGCATTCCCTATATCCCTTACCCTTCTTTATTTTCTTCCATCATACATAATATACATATACATATATATTTATTTGCTCACTTTCTTGTTTTCTCTAATCAGGAATGTAAGTTTCATGAGATAGGGACTTTGTCTATTCTGCTCACTGCTAATTCTTTAGTGTCTTGAACAGTAGTTAATAAAAGTTATCAAATGAACAAAATTACTATGTATCAGTGTGTTTGATACCAGAAGTTCACAGAAAAATAAAAAGAAATTACAGTTTAGAAGAATCAGACAGGTAAATAAAGAATTTTCATGCAGTGTGCCTAGTACAATAACAGAGACTAAGTACAGTTATGATTTAAAAAGAAGAGCAAATATCTTTGCCTATGTATGTCAGCCAGTGAAGGCTTCACTGAAGAGAGATGTGAACTGAGTCTTAAAAAGATGAAAATAAGTTCATGACAGATATGCCACTGTGGACAAGGACATTATTCAGAGAAAACTGTAAATGAAATGAAACAGGAGATGACACGCTGTAAGGAGGAACTGTAAGTAGGTTCCATATGGATGGAACACAGAGTACATGGTGTGGGGGTGGGGCTGGCAGTGGAAAAAGACAAGATGGGTGGTGCAGGGAAGCAAGAGACATATCACAGAGAACAGATAGTGAACAAAGTGCAGAAAGACTGGACTTTGCCCTGCAAGAGACAGAGAGCCAGTAAAGTTGGGATCATTAACAGAATTCCACGAATGGGCTTTAGAGTCTGTAAAAACCTCAGAAACAGAAATTTTCTGAGGAGTGAGCATAGTTTTCATCACATTCCTCCAAAGATTTATGATTCAAAAATAGGTTATACAACTACTGAAATTGAAGCAGTAATCAAAAAACTCCCAGCAAACAAAAGTCCTGGACCAGATGGATTTACAGGCGAGTTTTACCAAACATTCAAAGAAGAATTAACACCTATTTATTCAAACTATTCCAGAAAATTCAAGAGGAGGAATAACTCCCAAACTCTTTTTATGAGGCCAGCATCATCCTAATCCCAAAACCAGATAAAGACACTACAAAGAAAGAAAATTACAGGCCAATATCTCTGATGAACACAGATGCTAAAATCCTCACTAAAATCCCAGCAAACTGGATCCAGCAATACATTAAAAAAATCATATATCATGACCAAGTGGGATTTATTCCACGGATGCAAGGCTGGTACAACATCCACAAATCAATAAATGTGATACATCACAAAAACAAAATGAAGGACAAAAATCACATGATCATATCAATAGATGCAGAAAAAGCATTCGACAAAA